CAAGGACTGGCTTCCCAGGCTCAGGTGGAGCCAGGCAAGGACCTGCCCTCAGAAGGAACCCAGGACCCAGGGCGGCCATTTTCCCCACCTAATGCCTTCCAGGGTTTTGGGGCTCCCGCACCCTGAATCCTCAGCTGGGGTGGCTCACAGATCCCTGCGGGGCCGACCGGCAGCCCGAGGAGGGAGCAAGACCAAGGCAGAAGGCCCAGCACCACGGTCCAATCCAGAACGGCCTTCGCTGACACGTGCCGCTTAAGAATGGTGCTGCATGTGAGGCAGTCGGGTGCCCGGCAGAGGACGGACGCTGCCGTGGGGGAGGGAGAGCTGTGGGGCTTTTAACCGAATGCTTTACATGCAGTCCTGTGTGCCAAATGCACCCCAGGCAGTCATCTCCCTCACAGTCCTGCGAGCAGCATCTCTTCCTCAACCACACTAGCCCCAATCCTACCAGATCTCTCCCGGATGAACCTCTGCCTGCTGATCCTCAGGGAAGGCAAGGAGAGACTGACCCCCCCCCACAAGCCCAGCAGTCAAAAAGGCTACCCCCTTACCCAGAGCAATCGCAGCCCCGTAATTCTCCCGCATGGTGTCTTCATGCACCGCCCAGCCTCGCCAGTGCTCTGGGCCGAGATGAAGGGCCGCGTCCTCACACCGCACCGGCACCTGCAATGAATGAGGCCCGTGCACCAATTAGGATTCTGCGCGTACCCATTTAGGTTAGCCTAACAGGCCCCAATCCAGCCAGGTCTTGCTATGAGTACTGGCTCTCCGTCCCGCTGCCCACATCTGGAGATGCCACATGGCAGAGATGCAACCCTCCTGCAGACTCCCATTTGTGGCTGGGCTGCTCCAGCGGAGGCCCGGCTGAAATCTGGCCCTCCTTCCTTCCTCCTTGCCCCTGGCAGGATGACACGCTGCCTTACCCGGAGCTACGACCGGAGGAACAAAGGGTGGGTGGACGTAAAGGGAACCCGATGCCGTTCTGAGAGTTCAGGAAGGGACTGTTTGCGAAAGGATCCCACCGCGCCTCCAGAGGCAGAAGCATCCTGGCCCAGTGGAGCCAGAGAGGGGCTGCCGCACACGTCGGTGGCCCAAGGCTTGGGAAAGCTCCTTGGATGCCCAAGACCCCCCCGCCTCAAGACTTCACTCATCCGCATTGCACCCAGCTTTGCCGGCGTCCTGAAGGTGCCCCAAGCGCGCTGCTTTTGCCGAGACCCGTTCAGGATCCGGCTTTTGGCTTCCAAAGGCAGCAGAAGCACCAGGTGCAGGAGCCCGGGGCTCTTCCCCATTTGCAGAAGCAGACACTTGGGTGGTCCAGAGCGGCTTGCACCCTCGGAGCCCGGGGCCAGTCTGTGATTCTTTGCAGGTAGACCGCAATCCGTCTGCCTGCCTGCCTGCCAAGCGCTCCGGGCCCTGCAGTTCACAAAGGCCCTCCCTGCTTTTATTTTTCTTTTGAAAATGAACATTGTTCTGCTTCAGGCCACAAGAAGGGGGAAAAAGAGGGGACGGGTTTGGCAACAACCCCAGTTTCCTTCCTCTGCAACCAAACAGGTCCTCCTTATCTCTGCCTGGAGGAGGGGGGAGGGAACAGCAAGGCCCCCGGCCAGCTGGTCAGCAGCCTCCCAGGTCCACCCCTTTGGCCCCCGCCTGGGCAGACACCCACCATCACTTCCTGCATCCCCGCCTCTTCCTCCCCCCGCCCCGCTGGCCTTCTCCCCACCTCTTCCTGCTTGGCCTCTTCTGCCCCGCTGCCCCCCCTTCCTGCCCTCCCCTCCCCGGGCTGCCCCGCTTTCCGCCCCTCAACG